TGGGCTGCCTTCTTCGAAAAGGAATACCCCAGAAATACGTTAACCTACTGAGGTCACTGTACTCACAAACCTCCGTTCGTGTAAGGGTCTACAACGAACTAAGTGGGCCGTTCGTCACCAGTAGCGGCGTTCGTCAAGAGTGCCCTCTTTCGCCGTTCCTGTTCAATTTCGTCGTAGACGAAGTACTGAAGAGCGCACTAAGGGGACTCCAAAAAGTAGGTATTGAATAGACAGCTGGAGAAAAGCTGTGCGATTTAGAGTGCGCCGATGACATCGTCTGTCTGTTCGAATCTATGGAGGATGCGCAAAGCGCACTTGATAGACTATCAAGTGCTGTTGTCACAGTCGGTATGTGCTTTGCACATTCAAAGTGCAAAGTGCTGCTGCAGGACTGGGTTTCGTCTTCTCCCACTCTGAATCGAAATGGTCAGTATTTAGTTGTGGTGGATTGCTTTTCCTACTTAGGTAGTTGCGTAACCAATGACGGTAGTGCAGCAATGGAGATAACCGCCCGCATTTCCAGGGCTCGAGCAGCATACGCAGGACTGAAACACCTTTGGCGTAGACGCGACATTTCACTCAAATTGAAAGGTCGTGTCTATTGTGCTAGCGTTCGTTCAGTCCTTCTTTATGGTTGTAAGACCCTGAATTTGCGAGTAGAAGATATCCGTCTTTTAGAAGTTTTCAATTATCGGTGTTTACGCAGTTTAGCCCATGTTGGATGGAGCGAACTGATTAGTAACGTGGAGGTAAGCCGGCGTGTGTTTGGGAGTCTGTCAGATATAAACCTGCTAGCACGCCGAATTCAGATTACTAGGCTTCGCTGGCTGGGGCACGTATTGCGTATACCCAGCCATCGTCTGCCGCACCACGCTTTATTCGCTGTAGCTAATCCGGACTGGAGGAAACCACGTGGAGGTCAACAGATAACGTGGAGACGAGGCATGAAGAGATACACAGAGCCATTAGGTAGTGTAGGTGTCTCTCGCGTTCCAGGTTGGGGTTCGAAAGACTCCACAACTGGCTGGTTCGATACATTGAAGGAAATGGCAGCGAGCCGGCAGCAGTGGCGTTTTTGTTGCTTCTTATCAGGTCAGAATGCTTGAAATGGTATGTCTGCAGAGTTCGATTACGTACTCTGTGTTGACCATAGTGGCTCACGTTCTTCTCCCTCCCTCAAAATAGATCCAATCCCTGTCCACCTTAAACTCTACCCTTAATCTTGTATGCATTGCGAGTTTGGCAGCGATCAGTGAAGTTTGCTTCACTGTATTTAACTGTACAAATGAATAATAAGTTTTGTCATCTAGGCAGCTACATCTCACCCGGTGGACGCATCACGGATGAAGTGTCAGCTCGCATACAGACGGCATTTGCCAACTTGAGACATCTATGACGCCGTCGCGACATCCGGCTGTCTGTGAGAAGTAGAGTATATGCTGGAGCAGTTCCGTCAGTTCTGCTATATGGAGCAGAAACTTGGCCATTAGGAAAACAGGACAAAGATAGATTGTCAGTGTTTGAACATTGCTAAGCACGCAGCTTTGCACGAATCTGGTGTGGCAACTGGACAAGCAATACTGAGGTCAGGTGAAAAGTCTTAGGTAGTCGCGGTCGCCCACTGGAGTAAGTGGTCGATCTCCATAGATTACGTTGGTTTGGGCATGTGTTACGCATGTCACCGAATAGGTTGCCATGGCGAGCGATGTTTGTCGGGGCAGGTAATGGGTGGAAGAAAGTCAAGGGTGTTCGAACCAAGACCTGGCATGAGGGTATGAAAACCCTAACCATGAGTCTTGGTCGCATAGATCCCGTTCGGCTCTCTGGCTGGGGACCTCGGGATGGTCGTACGCGACGGTTGGAAACACTGAGTGATATGGCTGGGTGTCGTAAACAGTAGCGTTCGTGCATCCTCTGTTTCTCTGTATCATTAGTCCACTGAACTGTTCACTTTTCTCTTTGATCCTACTTTCAACGTTTCCTTTCTCTCTTCTAATGTTCATCCAAATGGACAGGCGAAAGATAGGAATCGAAACCGGTCCACGATAGTGCGTGGTTAATGGTTGCACAAAGTGAACCGAACTGAACTTTTGGAAATTAATTATTTAATGAATGGTTATAATAATTCCTAATATTACACTACTCATGTTTTACTTTGGACTCGTTGGACCAAGGAGAAGAGGAAATATGAAGCACCAAAACATATTATTTCAGAAAAGTCAGAACTTGTCTCATAGTGGGAGGTAAAGACGTATCTGATGGGGAACAAAAAGTCGATCGATCGCTTGTACACATTTCCATTCGTTTCCTCCGTCTTGTATGAATCAATGATTCCTAATGTAGCTTCAGGTAACTCGTGGAGTGTATCAGCTTGTGGTCTCGTCTCTCTCCCCCCACCCCACCCGCGCTCATTGTCTAGCTGAAACGACAGGCTCGAATACGTCGTGAGTTTATCTATCGTCGATCAATCGAGGCACGAGATAGCGAAAGCGAACGAAAGAAACAATTGCTACGTGCGGCTCTGAAAGAAGGCAAACGTTTACCCAAAGAACTAAAAGAGGACGCGCTTGCCCTAAACGAAGAGTTGGATTGGAGTGACGAGGGTGGTGAAGGTAAGTTGTTTTCAATGTACAGTTAATCGTCCTGCATGTTTCAAGTTTCTCTCTCTCTCACTCTTCTTGATCCAAATTGATTTTGCATAAATCCACTCAGTCATGTGATTTATAAGTAAGCTTGCCCTAGTTCTACAGAATCCGATTCGCGGATGTAAACAGAAACTGAGCGAATGCATACGGGATCAGTTCCGATGTTATCCGATTCAGACAAAAAAGATATCGGTGGAAAAAGCTCACTCCGACTTTGGCGGGTGATTAAACGTTTCCGTATCTCGCGAGTGGTCTCTCTCTTCGGTGCGTGTTATGCTGGATCAGTTCGCCCCGCGAACGAATTGAACTGGGTTGTCGCGGGGCCAAATTGCACTGCTCGTGGTGCAGTCATGATCTCAGCTTTCTCTAGCAGGGTCTAGTGGATAATGCTACGATTCGAACAGTCTGAGATGCGCTGCTTGGTGCTTGTCCATGCAGGGAATATTTACTGCTTAACTATCATTGACCATTGTTTTTTTTGACACAGATGACGTACAGTTTTAACATGGCGTTAGTAATCGTGATGTTTGCCTACAGATTTTTGTGTCCAGCATTGGACGCCAGTCGCTGTGTTTCGCTCCACAAATCCCGATGTTTACCAAAGATAAATATTAAATCTGACTCTTCAGTGAGATAGTTTGCTTTTGACCGAATTATGCACGCTTGAAAGTTTTTCCGGCCGAAGAATAAGAAATCGTTACGTAGTTAGTTCTGGTTGCGTAATCTGATCAATTCACGCCTTTGGAATGTTTCAAACTCGTTGTGGCGCATATTATCCCCACCCATCCCATCCGTCTTTGTTTGACTCCACATAATTTTTTTTCATCAAAATGAAATCGTTCAGACTTGCGAATGAATTAATCGAACACATGTTTACCTACACTGGCTGTTTAGGTGTGACTAATCCCACAGAACACATTGAGAACAATAACAACAACAATAGCGTGGCGAACAACCTCGTTTCCAGTTGGTCGTAATCAATTTCACTCGAACACACACTTTTGAATCCAGATCTGATCCATTAAGACTGGAATCAGTCAACCCTTTTTCGTCTTTTTCCTAGGCATATTTAATGTTATGTAATGGCATGATTACAAATGACTGCAAAGGAGCCTGTTCGGTACACTTGTTGTTGTTGGTAGTGGTGGTCCCGAAAATTATGTTTGGGTGGTGGTGGTGCAGTGGTTTATTCTGTGTCACAGGCTTGATTTGGTCCCTGTGGTCCGAAGTTCGAGCCCCGCCATCGCCGTCCCATTTCGATGGATGACAGCTTTGCTGTTGTCCGGTTCTATATCACGCCCG